TTTACCACATCCACCAAGGATGTAGCTTCGAACATATTCAAGATATTTAATGGCAAACACGGGAAAATGCTCAACAACCGTTTTAATAAAAATTCAGGGTCCATTAGTTCCGTGCATTCGTATACTAATCAGCCTTAAGCCGGATATCGAGGGAAGACTACGAGTCTATTAACAACGGAAGACTGCAGGTGTATGGCTAGGAAGAAGGAACCGGGGTAGCTCTTAGTCGCACGTGCGTGAGAAAAGTCACCCTCGAAGACTTTAAGAACCCTTCAAAAGGCGTCAGAAGAAGAAGAAGAAGCTTGGCTTGACACTTGTTGGATCTAGACATGCGGGAAGCCCTAACGCACTTTCAGTTTAATTGTTACCACGAGACAACACGTGCATTTCGTGAAATAAAACGTGTCTTCTTTCCACCATTTTGGCGGTTGCTGCTGAACGATCGTGTCTCTAGCACGTGTCTTCCGTTTGACAGTTAGTTTTCAGCAGTGGAATATCAAATGTGTAAATTTTATAATGTATGTACCCATACAAGAAGATACTGAAACCTGAGAATTAATTTTCCACTATAAAATATTTTATTATTATATAATTTGGTGAAAAATGAACCTAGGTATCAGTCTGAAAACACGATGTTCGATTTGATAATAATTTCGAAAAATTTAAAATTTGTTATTTTCGCAATTAGTAGAGAAAATAGGTCTTAAACAAAAATTATTTGTTAATTAATATTATCTTTTATAAATAAAACTGTAATTAAAATAAATATAATTATTTATTTTTGTTAGATTATTTAACCTGTAATCATCAATCAATTTTTAGGTATACATTATAGACCAGAAGTTATAACATGAAATAGCAGGCCTAGTGACATTTTACCTTGTAAAGTCTAACCTCAAATAAAACATCACTATAGAAAGATATATGTACTTGCTTCTTATAAACATCAATTCTGTTTAGAAATTAAGAAATCAAACGAAGTAAAATATATTTATTTCTTTTCATTGAATCATTCGAATCTATATTTAAATACACATTACAATCTGTTATTCTACTGTTAAATATTAGGTTAGGTTTGGTCAATGAGTCAATGAGTAGTGTCGAATTTTTACACCAGATGGTGCTCGTTTGTTCTCCAGTCCACATCAGTGTCCTAACATTAGTATTAATATTAAATATAATCGTGTGTTAATTGAAGTTATGTAGCTGTCAACAAGATGGCGAAAAATTACAGATCAGAATGGGCAATATTATTTAATAAAACTTTTTTGTCTATAAGAAAAACGATGCCTACTATTTTATACTAAAAATTCAAAACAAGTGATGTATTCTATTGGAAAGGTAAGTTTAGTTATATATGAAAATTAATCTAGGATATAAGGTATGAATAAATAGTTTATAAAACTTAGATTTCAAGCACGAATGTTTATATAAACATTAAATATGAATTGGGAGTTGCATCACATACCCTCTTAACATTCTAGCACAAATTGGTTAATTATTCTGGAGAAATACTCAAAAATTGATATAACTTCTTTGAGTAATAAAAGAATTAAAAAGGGAATATATATATCGTAGTTATTTCACAATTATAAACCCACAATCTCAATAGAACACAATTGAAAACCGAAATCTATAGGGGTTCCTGGCACTTAAAATGAATTGAAACTTATCAATTAAAAATATTTTTCCAAATTGAATTGTAAAAAATTATACTTAAAAATTGTAAAGCAACCTAATCTAACCTAAGTCAAGCCTAACTCAATATATTCCATATCAATTAACACATAACCTCCAACCACATTTTGCCCTAACCTCAACTTAATCTCAAATGAAATTTTTCCATTACATTGGAAGAAATATAAGTACTTATTTCTTTAACATATTAATCCTACTCAACAATTAAGTTAAACAAAGCTCGTATCCTTGAGACTCTCACAAAATTTACATTTTGGTAAGCTGTTAAAATCGAATTGTACAATGACGCATGCGCAGAGAGAACGTCGAGCTGCCGGAGAGGTTAAGAACATGGAACGTGTAAAACGGAAGTGGAATCCAGCATTATCTGCGCCATCTTACGAGTCATTGGACAACCTGAATATGCATAACGTTGTGCGAGTACAGAGAGGCCATAAAAAATACGTCACGACAACGATCTATTTAATTAGATGCGAGTATACGTTTCGCAGGTGTACTCTTAACTATCGACTGTTCCCTCGGAGCTTCGTGGCTCGAACAACGCGACATTGAACCGATCGAGCGTGTGAACCGATCTAAGATCGATGAAGAGGGAAGAAATTTATTATTACCGCCCGTATATCAAAGACAACTGGTCATGCACGGCGTGGGAATACTCCTCGTGCGACATTATAATTGGCAGGAATGGTGGTGAGTTATTATCCGAGTATTTATTGATATCAAGGTCAGTGATGAATTCTTTGGTGTCCCATTAACCCTTGATGTTAATACCAGAATACGCCTTCCTGTATTTTTTATCCAAAATTTTGTTAATTAAATTAGATCGCTGTTATCTGATCTATCTCATAAATTATTCGATAATTATATTTTTCGTATTTATGATATAATTTATTATTGAGGAGTACGAGAATGTGAATAGGAGGAACTAAATACGTGTTTAAAAATTTGAGGTCATGTGTCATGCGAGGATTGACATTTAAATTATAGGAACTCAATCTTTATTGTATGAATTTAATATTTAAAAAAATATTGTATGAATTATTTTGCATGAATTTAATTTATATAATAATAATTATATTAATATATAACCTATTGAATAGATCAGCTATCGAATGAGATTAGATTGTATCAATGAATATAGCCATCTACACAGTGATACAAACAGATCTATTCAACTGATTATAGACCTATAGAATTTTATAATTTAATATTACATAAAATATTAAAAATATATGAATAGATTATGAATCTACAAGCTTAATTTAGCTTATTTATATATTTCAATCAAATTCTATTGAATTGTAATAGCTATAACAATTCAATAGGATTTTCCTCTCTTATTTATGTAAAAAAATTAGCTCACCACGATATTAGTCGAAAATGTCAATATAATTGAACTTTTCAGTCAAATTCTATTGAATTGTAATGGCTATAACAATAACATATAATATTATATATAACAATATATAACAATAACTATATAAAATAATAGTATTTATACTTATACATGAAAGTATTTACATGCTTACATTTGCTATATTTAATAATTAAAATATTTATATTTTAATTTGAAATGTTTTAGTTAATATAGAGAGGAAGGAGGGAACCCTAAGATCATATTAAGGGAATTAGAAAATAATTCAACGATATATGTGTATGGTACTTACAGTACGTTTACCGTAGATACGAACCATGGTGGCGCTAGTGTGTTCAGTTCACCTGGAAAATAGTATTATGAGTGTTATAATGGTAAATAGATTAACAAGATATTTCTTATTTTTCAATTACTAATATTTCTAATTATTATTTCATGTTGTATTTGAGTATTTATATAACTCACCGATTGTTTGTAATAAATATATTATAGATATTGTATATATTGTTGAATTATTTTTCAATTTTACTAATATAATTTCGAAATTTCCTTTTTATTATATATATTATACCGTTTCAAACATTTTTGTTTACTGTTATAAACATTTAACTATTTTCATGTATGATTTATTTTGTATTAAATCACTGCCCTATTTTGTTTGCTTTGTATGCGATATAATATATCAGCAATTAATAGTTAACAAATTTCATGATAATATAATTAATTTCATAATGGCCAAATTTGCTATAAATTTAATTATTATCACCTTTTTAATTGGATAATGAAGTACACGTTTATTAATCATTTTAAATAGAGTACATTTTAGTTGTATAAAAAGCAAATTTTTAACAATATTCACTGAATAGTTTCAATAATAAAAATTTTTGAAAATTACACGAATGATAATATTTAACGACAATAATTAATAATATTTGAACAATATTTCGATTGGAACCCAATTCCAAATAACGCATAACAATGTTAGGTACGTTATCACAATTGTCTTATATTTTCCAATAGTACATTGATTTAAACAAAGATTTTCAAAAATCTCCAATTATTACAAAAATGGTTTTCAACGCTAACAAACAACACACTTACAACGAAACAAAACAAAAGAGAAACAAGTATATCGAGCAGAACACGTTAAAGATACGAATAAAAGGCAACGAAGAACGCAAAAACAAAGCACCGAATCCCTCGCTAAATTTCAAATCCCAAATGACTCTGTCCAACAACACTGACCAAAGAAATCCTCACTCAAGGCACTCTCAGGCGGAAAGCGAAAGTCAAGTCTGACCAGACGAAGAACAAAAAGACAGAGCCATTAACGGTAAAGGGCGATAAGAACGACGTTCGCATACAGGAAACACACAACGTAACAGACAGAACCTAACCTATAAAGAGATAAGAACCAATCCCAAAGCGAGGCATAGCAGGATCAAACGAATTCTTAAAACGGAAGAGTAGCAAAGAATCACGGCGAGGAGGAAAGAAGACGGGGAAGAAACCGTGTTATGGGGCAAAACACGGAAAACAATAAGAACAAGTATGGCTCCAGGAGAAAAATAAGCAAACGGAAATAATAACGGAAACACGAAGATCAAAGGTGGAAAAGGGAAAACGAGATGCACCTGAGACAGATAGAGTCAGAAACAGAGATAGAGAGGAAAACAGAGACAGAAACATAAACAAAGACAGTCACACGGATGGAGACAGAACAAAGACAGAGATAGAGATAAAGACCAAGATAGAGCCAAATGACAGGGACAACGACAACAGGGATAGAAACAGACACGAAGACAAAGGCAGGCAGAGATAGATAGAGACACGCACAGAAAACACAGATAAAGGCAGAGACACAGGCACTCAAATGGAAACAGAAACGCAGACAGAGATAGAAATAAAGACAAAGTTAGAGACGAACATGGAGATAGACAAAGACAGAAACATAGATGGAGACAGAACCCGTACAGAGATAGAAATAAAGACAGAGGTACATACGGACACAGAGATAGACAGAGATAGGCACAGGTAGACAGAAAGCAAGAGAGAGATAGGAATAAAGACAAAGCTAGAGACGGACATAGAGATAGACAAAGACAGAAACACAGATGGAGACAGAACCCAAACAGAGATAGAAATAAAGACAGAGGTAGAGATGGACATGAAGATGGACAAGGACAGAAACATAGATGGAGACAGAACCCAAACAGAGATAGAAATAAAGACAGAGGTAGAGATGGACATGGAGATAGACAAAGACAGAAACACAGATGGAGACAGAAGCCAAACAGAGATAGAAATAAAGACAGAGGTAGAGATGGACATGGAGATAGACAAGGACAGAAACATAGATGGAGACAGAACCCAAACAGAGATAGAAATAAAGACAGAGGTAGAGATGGACATGAAGATGGACAAGGACAGAAACATAGATGGAGACAGAACCCAAACAGAGATAGAAATAAAGACAGAGGTAGAGATGGACATGGAGATAGACAAAGACAGAAACACAGATGGAGACAGAAGCCAAACAGAGATAGAAATAAAGACAGAGGTATATACGAACACAAAGGATAGACAGAGACAGGCACAGGTAGACGGAAAGCAAGAGAGAGAAAGACACTTGCAGCGACTGGTTAGAAAAGGACAAGGTGCACCGAAGGGAGGACCAGGGAGAAAGGATGAAGAAGAAGGAGGAGCGGGGCACGAGCCATGCGGCTCCTGCACCATCTGTTGCACCGTTTCGCTGCAGAAGACGGTACCCGGTACACGCTCGGACTTCGTGGGGACACCATATGCTCTCTCTCTATTGCATCGGTATACCCACAGCCGTTCCGATGCAGGCATACCCCGCATATGTAATGTTCTACCGGTTTTCTCAATCACACCGTTTCATCATGATTTCCGTGAGCCGTGTGCCGAGTGCCGTGTGCCACGTACCCTGCACCGTGCGCCTTCCTTTCATTTTTATCGTGTCCTTTTCATCAGTTCCAAAACAGGAACATATCCATCGCGGGATTTCTGACGAGTGAAACGACTTAAATGACAGGGACAGCGTTTGCCCGGACATGTCGAGCGACGAGATCTCGGGATGTTTCGGAACCAGTCGTCGATTTGGTTTTAAGTATCCGAGTAAGTTGCGAATTTGGGTCTGCTTGAAAGTGTGTCCCAGAGAAAATGGTCGATTTGGTTTTAAGTATCCAAGTAAGTTGCGAATTTCGATCTGATTGAAGGTGTGTACCAAGCCAAATAGTCGACTTGGATGTAAGTATTCAGGTAAGTAGCGAATTTGGATCTGGTTAGAGGTGAGTTCTAGAAAAGACTATTCGTGATTTATGGGAGAATTGGAAACTGGATTGATTTAGTGATGTCCATGTGAGTTATTGGTCTTTATGACTATGGGATTAGGATTTACTGTGTAAGTATCACTGTGTAAGCTATAGGTTACTATGATTTTTATATTTTTGTTGATGTTGTTGGTAGCCAATTAAAGTGATTATATTTTTATATATTATTATATTATTATTATATTATGATTATATTGTTATATATTATTCTGAAGTATATATTCACTGTTTGTAATAAATATGAACAATTATATTTACGATATTTGAGATACACCTGTATTCTAAATGATAATGTGTGTATATATATATATATGCTGTCTTTGTTAATATTACGTGCATAATTGATTATAATTATGTATACGAATGGAAATAAAATTTATTTTATATTTACAGAGAATATGTATATTCTTCTGACAAATATATACTGTGTCCATTCTTGATTAGATCCTTGATCAGATTTTCAGAAAAATAATACCGGTACTTTTAATGTAAAATAGTAATCATTTCATGGAAAACAATGTTTTATTAAGCAATATATCACCTATTTCGATTATAACAAATAATTTCAGTTAGGAACATAACCTCGTACTGAAACAAGGGCGCCATCTATTACGAAAATTCGATTTTACCTATTAGCCAGCTAATTTTATCTATTAAAACATGTTCCACTCAAAATTACCCAAAATAATATCGGTATTTTTAATATAAAATAGTAATCATTTCATCGAAAACAATGTTTTATTAAACAATATGTCACCTATTTCGATTATAACAAATAATTCCAGTTAGGAACATAACCTCGTACTGAAACAAGGGCGCCATCTATTACGAAAATTCGATTTTACCTATTAGCCAGCTAATTTTATCAATTAAAACATGTTCCACTCAAAATTACACAAAATAAGGGGTAATAATAATTAATCTATTTAGAAATACAGTATATATACTCTTTATTCATGATTGGATACCAAAACTTGTTTGTCAGTTTAATAATTTTGCAACTCCAACCTAACCTCTCTTAACCTCTCCTAACCTCACTTGTTCGCACCATATTTTCTTTTAGTCACTAATACAAACGTAAATGTAATTCACATGACTGATATCTTAATGAACTAATTGAATTACCAACTTAAAATACAATAAATCGGGCAAAATTTTGTTCACATGTATTAAGCTCGATTAAACGAGGCTCTACCGTGCATCGATTCGACAAATGGCTGCACGAGGATAGGTGGGTTTCTCTTTTACAAGTTAATTCGGCGAGGAGACTTTCCCAACAAAGGAGCGTGCTTTCTTAGGGACACATGGTTCCAACTTCTATTAATCATGCTACCACGGCACGTCGATGAATATTCATGCACAAAGTATATATATATATAATTACATTATATATATATACATATATATCGGAGATCGATGCTGTGATAACCGCAGCCTGTTTGGCAAAAATGAACGTCGAGCCAATGGACCGTTCATCGTTTCGAAAATTATTCGTACTCGAGATGAATTTTGTTGGACGGAACCGGTAATTCGTAAGTGAAAAGTATCAAGTTTTCCTTTATTACAAGGGAGAGAAGATGATGGAGTACATAACGTGCTTGAAGTGATGTCTGAGAATTTATGATCCTCATCATTAACGATGAGCTACCAATTTTATCAAAAAAATTAGTGTAAAAGTATCTTTTTTTTATTTTTTATTTATTTATTTTTTTTTTTCTTAATACCTGGTGTCAACTTTATTTTTGTATTTTAAGGAAAATAGCGACGATTTCATAACCAGATGAATGTTATAGGATGAATTTTGGAAATTTCTATTTTAGCAATAAATTAGGGTGAAGATGAAGTTCATTACAATCAACTTTGTATTTGAAATTTAAAATACATTTTATGAAAAAGTACGCAATTTTTAAATATTTTTAAAATATTTAAAATATTAAATATTTATTTAAAATATATACAATTTTTTAATAATTTTATCGATATTTATAGCAGTAATAGTAATAGAAGCAAAGTATCAAAATATTAAAATACTGTACAAAATCTGTTATTAAAATGTAATATTGCAACAATAGAGTGACAACCTATGCTACAAGTAAAATAACCTCAAAATAGACTTCACTCAAAACACATATATTTTCTATTAGTGTTATTTTGATACTTTTACAAGGATCTTTTGTATTCTTTAAAACAGTAGTACACAATAATATCAATATCAATAACAATTAGGGGCAACAACTAAGGGAACAGAATACCTTCTACAACCCTCTTTTAACCCTCCAAACCCAAAATCACCAAAACACTAATATTTATAAAACAAAGAAAAATATTCTTCTATTTTAAAAATAATTTTCCGAATACTTTTGAACAATACCATGTACAATAAAAAAAGTCTCCCAAAACAAAGAAACAATATATATTACCAACAAAGCATAAAACCATTCCTAAAACAATGTACCAAAAAATAAATCCCAAACAAGATATTTTTAAACAATACAAATCATATTGAATAGCCACTATCATTTTCATAATTTAGTGATAATCTTCGCAATACTTTTACACAAAAGTGTACACGCGACATTGTTTCAAAAATTCCCCAAAAACAGATATATGCAAGATATATAACCAACAAAGCATTAAATAAAATATTTTTGCACAATAGAGATCATATTGAATAGCGAATATTATTTTTATATTTTAATGACAACCTTCGCAATACTTTTTCACGATAGTGTACACGTGACATCGTTCAAAAAATTCCCTAAATACAGAAAAGCGAGATATATCACTAACAAAGCATTAAACAAAATATTTTTAAACAATAGAGATCGTATTAAATAGCCAATATCATTTTTATATTTTAGTGACAACCTTCGCAATACTTTTTCACGATAGTGTACACGCGACATTGTTTGAAAAATTCCCCAGAAATCGGGTTCCACGGTTACAGAGCGACGATTACGGGCGGAATCGAATTTTGTCTTCAGTCGGTTCATTATCCCAGGAAATCGAGCCATCGATCGCGTTACGTAAGCGCATGCGTCGGAGGCTGAGAAGACTCGACAGTCGCGATAGTTCGTGTTACAACATTGCGGGAGCGCTCCACGCGACAGACGGAGCATCGGCCGAGGGGCCCTTGCAACTGTCCCCCGAGGCTAGCACGCGTCGCCACGTGGCCAGGTAAGGAAAAAATAAAAGAGGAACAAGAAAGGTAAAAGCCATTCTCGAGGAACGAACTTACTTCTGCGTGTCGGCCTCGTTTCGGGTGCTCTCGCTCCCGTTCACCAGCCAAATTTGATTCCACCGTCGTATTTTGTCAGGATTACCACCCTTCAGGTATCACTGACTCGGATTCGGAGCTTCGTAGGTTACGCGTTTTGCCCGAGGGCGTTTTGATTGCTAGTGGGCTTTATTGGACCCAGGGATTACACATGTCTGATCGGTTCTTTGTAACCTGTGATTTACTACGTTTAATTTTGCATCATTATTGATTATTTCTCGAAATTGTTGAAATTTTTTGGGTTATTTATGATGGATGGAGTTTTAAATTATTTATGACGTCTGGTATTTTTGGATTATTTATGGGAACTGGTGTTTTTGCATTATTTATGGTGGTAGGAATTTTTGGATTATTCATGATATCTGACATTTTTTGATTATTTATAATAGATGGAGTTCTTGGATTATTTATGGTGTTTGGAATTTTTTGATTATTTATAATAACTAACATTCTTGGATTATTTATGGTGTTTGGAATTTTTTGATTATTTATAATAACTAACATTCTTGAATTGTTTATGATATTTAGAGTTCTGAAATTATTTATGACATTTGGAATATTTTAATTATTTATAATAGCTGGAGTTCTTGAATTATTTATGGTATTTGGAATTTTTTGATTATTTATGATATTTAGAATTTTTCGATTATTAGTAAGAGCTGGAATTTTTTAATTATTTAATAGTAGTTGAAATTTTTTAATTATTTGATAGTTGTTGAAATTCTTTGATTATTTATGATATTTGGAATTTTTAGATTATTTATAATAACTAGAGTTCTTGAATCATTTATATTTGAAATTTTTTAATTATTTGTAATAGCTGAAATTTTTTAATTATTTGATTATAGCTGGAATTTTTAGGTTATTTACGAGATTTGGAATTTTTTTATCATTTATATCTGCAATTTTTATTTGTAATTGATAATATTTAATATTTGAAATTGTGCGATTTA